CTATACGTTTCTTCTTATTTTTTTTTCTATTTGTTAATTCTCTTTTGGATTTTTTCTCCCTTTTTTCTAGATCGCGTTTGAAAAAGCTTTAGAACTTAACATAAAAACACAAAAAAAATAATGTCTGCTTACTCTCCATGAGCAAAATTTTTATTCTGTCAAACATTAATGACGATAATTATTTCGGCCAGATTATGTTCGCCGTGTCCATAATAAACCTTTAAACCCAAAAATATAACTTTTTTCTGCATACGCTTCTCGCAGATGACGAAGCTCTTTAAGAAAAGAAAAAAAGGGAAAAAAAAGTTTAATCGTTCAAACGTTTCTCTTATGGTACTTTATTTTCCTCTCTCACGCACAAGTGTATAAGGTCTATTTTTGGAAGGCTGATGTACGTAAGTGTTTTTTTTTTTTTTAAAAATATACTTTATTATGTAACCTTTCAAAAATCAGTTAATTGTGGTTTTAGTTTATATGAATTTAGTAAATATTTATTTCTTCTTGATCTCTGAAATGAAATGAACAGAGAGAGAGAGAGAGAGAGAGAGAGAGAGAGAGAGAGAGAGAGAGAGAGAGAGAGAGAGAGAGAGAGAAAGAGAGAGAGAGAGAGAGAGAGAGAGAAAGAGAAAGAGAGAGAGAGAGAGAAAGAGAAAGAGAGAGTTTTTTAAAATGTTAAAGATTAAAGATTTAGTTTTAATTCCATTTGTTACAGTGGATATTCTTTGCTCTGACATACTGTCTGTTTCTTCTTCTTCTTTTTTTAATCTCCCCCTGTGTGCAAGGAATGGCCGGGGTTGCCATCCACTGGCAGCGCGCGGGATTGTACACAGGTCTGCAAGATTGCTAGACAAGCACGCTGCACTACACAGCACGCAGACAGACAGACACAGACAGACAGACAGACAGACAGACAGACACACACACACGCACACACACACACACACGCACACGCACACGCACACGCACACCCACACACACACACACACACCACACACACACACACACCACACACACACACACACACACACACACACAACACAGACACACACACACACACACACACACACACACACACACACAACCACAACACACACACACACACACACACACACACACAACACAAACACACACACACACACCACACACACACAAACAACCACACAACACATGTGGTATCTGGGTATATTGGTGTATGCTTCCTGTACTCCCAGACTGTCTGATGAAATTACTTCTGTATCTGATTGGAGACAGTAGGTCATCTGTTAGGAAAATGAATATGAAATTATTTAAAATCAACCAGGAAATATCTCTCAACAAGATTATAATGTACCAATAATAATAATAACATACAATCAACAGACATTCTCAAATAGCTTTGTATTACCTGTGTTACTCTGATTTACGGCCAAATTCACAATCAATGCGAAGCCCTCTGCGACGAGAGTTTGCAAAGGCGACTGTGGGTACAACAATGCAATCACCTTCGCAAACTCCTGTCACAGAGGGCTTCGCATTGATTATGAATATGGCTGTTAATTTTATCAATACACCTTCCATGGAACACTCACCTTCACAGTCATGTCCTTTGTAAGACTCAAACATTCCAGCAGAAATCTTAGGCAGTCCTGTATTACTTGATGCTCCTCTTACTGGAGAAAAGATATCTGAAAGAATAAATCAATAATAATTTTGTAGAAATGTCCTAATACTTGACAAGAACCATTTTCTTCTTTCAGCTCTAAAGACTACATAATGCATGTAGGAGAAATACTGAACTTGGAAATAAAGTTCAAAACTACATCTTTACAATTTGCAGTAGAAGAGTATATCAAATGATATAAATAAAAGAATATGAGTTATTGTAACAACAATGATAATGCATACCATCATCTACGTTGTGAGATGCAACAACTAAAGTGTGAGGTGAAACAGCTGTTTCAGGAGCATGTGTTATTGGCCGAACTGGAGATAAAACATCATCCATGCCAAGAGAATCTCTTGATCCATGTCGTTCTAAGGAGGTAAACTTCTTAACTTGTTCAATATTCATCTGTAAGCATAGAGAATATATAAATGTTATAGGATTAACAACAGCAATTACAGAAAGGTTTATAACTGTAAGTACCACTCAATAAACTTCATCAATCAAATTAAAATTAACAAATTATTACTGGGGATGAAGAACAAGAAGAGTATATACTCTATAACAAAAACATCTAAGTCACACTATATACATATATCTCTATTCAACACCCATGTAATTATATCTAACCTTCACCGGGTTCTCTGTGGATCTGATTGGAGAAAAGACATCAGGTGACAACACATCATGAGAAGGATCCACGGAAGTTGCAGGAGCCAAAGCGGTTTTCTTCTTGACACTTGGATCTGCTTGTGACCCCCCAGATGGCTGGTCTGAGCATGATCTGTGTAGGATACAGGTCTTTTAGTACTCTGCATATATTAATAAATTTAAACTTAATTTTTGCAAAAGTTACATTCTAGTTTACATGGGATTCATATTAAATTTACAGGAGCATGTTATTAATGAACTTTTAAAAAATATCACTTTGTACAGAT